TCTGCAGCGGTCAGTACCTATTAAAAGTGGAATATAGTATGCAATACATATTTCAAACAGTGTATAACTGTACATGTGCAATTGTTACAAGGTAAGTTTGTGTAAAAAGATACAGGTTAAAGTGAAACAGTCTTAATTTGCAGAGGTGGGAGTTGCTGGGAGTCGGATGGCTGATGGCACAAATGAGCCTCCTGAGTGCTAAACACCTTGAACAGACTAGCTTTGTACCATTACTTCACTAATCTTAGCCTGGAAGTCAGAAAATAAAGTTCCTTTGTAGTTCATTTTACAGAAACCATCAGTACCAAAGTATAAAATGATCAAATTAATAATTTCTAATTCATATGTTATTCAATAGAAGTAATATTTGTACTGGTTTAAATAATCAATTTGAAACATTAGTGAGGAAGAGTTTTCTGCTAAAGGCATTAAAGGCCTGTTATAAAGGCATTAAAAACATTTACATGTGTTTTCATCTGTTAGTCCCACTTGTTTTACCTGTGACTTCTGTAAGGCAATGCCATGGTTAACTGCCTATACACTGTTTGTCTGCTTAACATTGTTTTGTATTAAATGTAGAATATTTTTATTTTACCATTATTTCCCTGGTTAAAAGTTATCCCACGTAGAGAATGTATAAGAATGAATATTGTGTTCATAGTCTGTCCACAGTATAGGTGGAATAATTCAATCTTATCAGACGGGCATCCCTCGTATACAGGTCTGTGGTCCGTGTATCAGTGTGGGGGTATCAGGTTCAGAATCACTCATCTACTTTGCATGATGGTTGCCTTGGCCAAAAGACAACTTTTGAAAAATAGGAATTTGATTACTTGTAATTTGCAAAAGAAGTGCACCATTAAAGTTAAGTACCAACCAAGGTGGGTCCTGAATTATAAGCTAACATTGGTAGAGGAGCCCTGCTTCAGAATCTAGTTTTGACACTTTAATTATTTTAGAATTTTATAGATTATTTTCTGCTCACATGGTACATTGTCCTAGATAATCGAGTAAATCAATTTACATCAAACTAATGTAACAAACACACAAAAACAAACAACCGTATGGGCAGATTACAAAGTCAATTTTGGACCATTCAGTAGGCACATTAATCCATTACACCTTTGCTCTCTGCCTCGCTGCTTTGGCACTGGATGTTTGCAACGGACATAAATCATGAAGTACAGAATCTGCCATAATTTGTAGGACACTAGGGAGTTTATTCCATCATATAGGAATTAGGGACAGGTCAATCCACCCAGGGCAATGGGAGATTTTGGACCGACGTGTTAGATAGCGCTCTCCACTGTCATCAACACACGCAATGAGGTCGTATGTTTTGGAAGAAGGATGTTCATAACTTCGGTAGAGTTCGAACACTTGTGGAATCTATGCCAAAGAACATTGAAGCTTTTCTGGCAGCACATGATGTCCCTCCGCCCTGTTCAGACACGTTCCCTCCGTCACTTTCTCATGTTTCAAAAGTACAGCTAGTGAAGGAAACTCTTCACTTTATGAAAGCTCAAGAATTCAAATACTTTTGTCACATGCACACCTAATGTCACACAAGTGACAAGCATCACACGAGAACAAGAACAAAATGACTTGAATGTTACATAAATATAAAACTTGTTTGTGGTTAAACAATGCAAAAGGAGGAGTTTAAATAAATAATATGTATGTACAGTTAGTGTGTCTTTGTGGGAGTATGAGTTAGGGGAGTGTGAGGGTTTCTTAGCTATGAGTCAGTGGAGTACTATCATTTGTAGAAGTGCGAGATTGTATCTAAATGGCATATAAATTATTAATACTACAGGAATTTTTCATGGCATTTTGACATAACAGGAAAAGCCACAGGTGGAATTAATAACATTAGTAATGGTTGTGGGTAGTGCTATCTCAAATTCTTAAATTAAATTAAACATGGGCTCTAGAATCTGCACAGAATTATAAATATGTTGTAAAATATAAAGCTGTGTCTTTCAGGGGCCCCTAGATGGTTCCCCAACATCTGCCCTACTTTCCCTGTCGATTATCCAGGCATGACGCCCCAGTTGGTAGATTGTCTCACTCACAAACATTCAGCCAGATGTTTGACAACAGCTGAGAGGTTAGACACACACAGACAAGTGGTTATGGTTAAAATCAGGGTTGGATCGTCCATCTGTTAAGATCCCATGTTTCCTAGAAATGTAGCTTGAATCTCTTTCATGTTTTAAACACATCCTCAGAGTGACAGACAGTTTGACAACAGCTGGTTCCTTCATCAAATGCTGGTCTCAATCTTGCGTAGTAGGCCTACTTTCTGTATTCACACTGATAATGTAAAGCTTCTGAACTCAATAGGCTTTGTGCACAACAGACATTGTAACTTAACTAACTCACTATTGTGTCCCAGTAAGCCATATATTCTTTTATTGTATACACCTGTGCTTTTCCTGTATATGTCAAAATGATTATGGTGAAAAAGGCCTTTGTATATAATGAATATATTGAAATATACATAGTACTACTTGTTTCAGTTTATTCACATAATGATTACTTCTGTTTCATTATCATGGTGTAAATAATCTGTTTTCTAGCAAGGTTACCAACTCAAAGAACCTGACAAGATGAGGCAAAAGACACCCACACCTTCATCTTGCCTGTCAAAGGGGGCCACAGGAACCTGTCCCTCGCAGGAGCCCTCTACCCAGTTACAAATAATAATAATAATACATCATCTCTAAGACCCTTAACCAGAATTCATATGTCAAATCTGCAGGATTGTAGTTTATTCTATGTAAAACCACAAAAAAGTGGACCCCAAACATATAAAGGAGTTCAACGAAATTACACTTTTGTATGCTTTTTGCTTTCTGTTGGGACAGTTGGATGAGGAAATTGCCTGGCTGGCTCTGTCAAATGTTTAATGAAAAAAAAAAAACGGTGTTACTAAAACTTAATAATCAACATTTTATATCTTGTTTGTTTAATATGAACAAAAACTGAAGTGTAAACAGTAAATTTGTGATCTGGGCCGCGGCCCGGTCACTTCCTGGATTCTCCTCTGGTTGCCTGGCAACTGCTCAGAGCCAGGAAATAGATCGACTCATAAAATCCGTAAAACTGTCGATTTTACAGATTGTGTACAGATAAAAATAAATAAATAAATATATATAGCGTGTTTATTAGTTAGATTGTGCTGGTAGGTGGATTTTGCTGCCATTTGACAGTTTATTTCACCCTGTTTCCCGTCGTTGTGCTATAATTAACGGACATACAACGTTACTGTAGGAGAGTGGCAGCGATATTCTCCTTACAAAAACCTTTAAATTCAGTCTATTTGATCCATTTTTAAATTAATTTTAAATTAAATTTCAAATTTGAATTTTCTTCCTATCCTGCTCTGTCACTTTCTTTATATCATATATTCATATAGCTACAAAGGTACAAACTAGATACACAGCCAGTAAAAAATCACACACTAAAAAGAACAACCAAAACCAACAATAATTAAATAAAAATAAAATACAAATGTGCATTTTACAGTGCCAAGGTCTTGACAGCTTTTTTTTTTATTTTTAACATTTGATAAAATTGTGCCATATAATATGAACAAATAAATAAATAAAATAAATTAACAAAGTGTGTGAGAGTTGGCTTGGTTTCTGGCCATTTATTTATTTATTTTTTATTAATGAATAATTGAATTTTCACTTGTATCATATAAATATTGTTATTTCCATCGCCTATATAACATCAAACATATTAATTTAAACATTAAACATTAAATTTATTTTTCTATAAAGTTGGTTAAATCGATCCAGAATATCCTTGTGCATAAACAGAGAAAAAAAATAGATGTGGAAAACTCTCGATATCAGGTAGAATTTACTCTAAATGATTGAATATTGATCCCCAGTGTGTGACTGCTGCACTTTACATCCAGCATCCTCTCCCCCATCCTCCCAGTGCGTCTGTGAACGCGCACGTCGGGTATCCGTGGGGTGTTTTTGGGGGCGGGACCATCGTACTGCTGCAGCTGTCCATGGTTGCGTAGTGAGAGCCAGAGAGGGTCCGGGTACGTGCGAGATGCAGCCATAGTCACGCTAACACTGTCTTATATTACAACCTGCTGGGATCGTTAGTTTTGCAGCGCATCAAAGCCGACTGAAAGGTGAGCCTGAAAGGTGCATTTACATCGTTTGTTTTTTTACTCGAGACACTGCCCCTTGCCCTTGAAAATTACTGCTGACGATCCATCCCCTTTCTTGCATCAAGAACAGGCCAGGAAGCAAACCAACATGGATGCTGTGCGCTATAGCAGTTGCTGCTGATGATGCTTGCATAGAGATTATGCTCCCAGCATCGTCTAATCCTCCTTATAGACTATTTACAATGGGATGTGATTCGTATCAAAGGGACATTTAACACCCACTTGACAGAAGAGACTGTTTTTTTAGGTGATAAATGTTGAAATAAGCTATACAGGGCTTCAATTAGACCGGTGGCTATTCATTTGTGTCAAGATGACACCCATTTGGAAGCAGCTATATTCTCAGGACTGGGTTTGTCTTTCTTTTTTCTTTTTTCTTTTTTACTTTCAGCATCAGTTTTCCTCTTGCAGCATGTTTGACTGTATGGATGTGTTACGGATTTACTGACAGCAGCAGCAGAGGCAGCCAGTGGTCCTGCCAAGATGTCACAGTTACAGTATTATCATTTAGAAATGTAACCGGACAATTGAATCTTTGGTGCAATTACACTGAAAAGAACTGTGCAAATTAAATAAGTGCAGGGAAATATGATAAACCCAGCGTGTTGCTCTCATGGCTCTCTACTTCTCCCTGTATTACACATAACAGAGCTGGCACATATAGCTTGTACAGGACAGTTGCATTTAATCGAGACAGACCAGCTGTTGCCTGCAGTCGTACAGGCCTGACGTTAGTTGCACGGCTGATTATTTATTTTTTTTTGAACAGATGTATATCACAGTCTTAACAAATAGGTTCTCTATTTTTGCTTATGGAGGTTTTTCTGTTTCTGTGTCCAGCTTCTGGACGTGAGGCATTATGGCTGAACAGCAGAGGCAGCGCTCTCTGTCCACCGCTGGTGAGTCTCTCTACCTTGTGTTGGGAGTTGAGAAGGTGGCTACGACGGATGATATTAAGAGATCTTACAGGTGAGGCATCCCTCTGTGACTTAGTCTACTTCACTAAACTGCCAAATGCTGTGCTGTTTTTTTACTCTATCGTCTTTTTTTGACACCTTTTTCTACGCAGGAAACTGGCGTTGAAGTTCCACCCTGACAAGAATCCCGACAATCCGGAGGCAGCCGATAAGTTCAAGGAGATAAACAACGCTCACGCGATTCTGAATGACCCCACGAAGCGTAATATTTATGATAAATATGGTTCTCTGGGACTATATGTGGCTGAGCAGTTTGGAGAGGAGAATGTCAATACTTACTTTGTCCTTTCAAGCTGGTGGGCAAAGGTAAGACTGAGTAAAGGCAACTACTAACCTGCTCTGTGATCACTTTTATTCCTGGTTATAATTGTTGCTCACACACTGACTCTTCCCTTCCTCCCATGGATCTACTCGCCTGCAGGCTCTGTTTGTCTTCTGCGGCCTCGCCACTGGCTGCTACTTCTGTTGCTGCCTGTGCTGCTGCTGTAACTGCTGCTGTGGCAAATGTAAACCACGGCCCCGAGAGGGCCAAGACCAGGAATTTTATGTGTCCCCAGAGGACCTGGAGGCTCAGCTGCAGTCTGACGAGAGAGGTGAGACCGAATCAACTGTGTGGCCACTCCCGTTTTTAATTTGTTAGAGCAAAGGGTCAGCAACCTTTAGTGCCAGAAGAGACATTTTTTAGCCAAAAAAAGGAAAGAAAATCTGAGCCACAAAACATATTTGAGCCTTGTAATGTTAATTCCTCACCCTCCAGCAGCGATGGAGATCACAATAATATAAAAACACTCTCTAAGATGCTAAATTACATCTAAATCTACAGCCTGAGGAAAGAGTTTCAAACTGTGGGACACCTGTCACTGTACCAGCCTCTTTTAAGCAAACATTTAACTTCATAAGGACGTACAATTGTTTCTGTCCCTTCTTATAGTCGGCATCCAAATTTCAAGTTATTATCAGTGCCAGTTCCTTTGATGAGGGTCTGAGATGGTGGGTGGGATGATTTCCTTTTGAAATCAATGACCATATTGACCATATTTAAAGCAAACAAATCTGTCCAAGCAAGAGTCAAGACCAGTAGTCACTAGTTTTGGCAAAATATAGAGGAAAAGGCGGCAGTTCAGGATGTAACACATGACGCACATTTTGAAACACTTTATTTTTATTCGGTGTATAATGGCTACACGTGTTTACAATTGGAGAGTGTAAGAATCACTTTAGGCCTACAACAATGATATCTTCAAGGTTATTTTATTGTTATTTAACAATGCAGGGCTGTGTAATAAAATCAAGATAATAGTTCCCTTTATACCACTTGTAAAACAAAATAAAAATTCATTAATAAGTCATAAAAATAAATGTATGTGCTGTTTCTGAGCTTTTTTAACCAGGTTGAAGATGTGAGATGATCTTTTTTTTTTTTTGGAGCATTAGCGAGCCACTGGAGAGGAGCTGAAGAGCCACTCTGCACGTCTCAACCCAAACTCTGAAAATGTTGTTTCTGTCTGTCAAGCAGAGGCTGGGGGTGACCCTATAATGCTGCAGCCATCAGCCACAGAGACGACCCAGTTAACATCGGATGGGCACCACTCCTACCACACCGACACCGGCTTCAACTAACCCTCCGTCCCCCCGTCAATCCTGGCCTGCGGTCCTGCCTGCTTCCCTGCTCCACCTCAGTGAGATGAAAGAAAGGGGTGATCCCTCTTTCCACTTCAGAAAGAGAGCCATGCGGAGGAGAGGGACTAGTAAGCATGGCCCATGAAAGGAACTAATGAAGTCACATCCCTTACACCCCCTTCCCTGATTGGTCCACAATTTATCCCCCCCCTCTTAGTACGAGAAGAATAGAGAAACCACTCTGTAGTTTCCTTTTTATTTCTTCTTTTATATTTCTTGGCCTTTAACCACACAGGTCGCCTACCTTACTCTCCCTCTCCCACATTTTGCATCATGGTGTAGCATGCACTGTTTATAAAACATGGTCTCCAGATTTTTATTTTATCTTTAGCAACATTTTTACTTTGCAAGACTCATACTGTTGGTGCATACATATGTGCAATACGTTCAAATGAGGACAGTTCACGAGGAGGAGGAGGAGGAGGAGGAGGAGGGTGACGTTTACGTGATGTTTTATGCTAAAGGAGAGGAGAGCCATGGCTCAGGGAGGTGCTGGTTAGAGAGGTGTTTGTGCGCTGAGGTGGTCGGTGCGATCATTAAACCTTCAAGAACAGAGTTGTCATATATTTACTTCTGATTTGCAATCAGTTCTGTTTTAGTTGAAAATGCCACCTGCCACTGTCAGAGTACGTTTTTGGCACTGTGTTTGTCTTTACTGTGCTCCCCCTGAGTGTTTTTATTGTGAATCATGAGGTTGTTAAGGCACAGAGCTTTATTTGCAGACATTATTTCTTGAATGCCTGCTGACGTAACATTTCTACTTTAGTCAATTAGAATTGGCTTTTCTTTCCTCCGCCTCAGCTTTATTTCAGCTCATTCTTGCGGGATAGAGACGACATTACTGTCTTTCCTGCAGCACCAAACAGATCGTCATGACAGTTATTTCAATGTAACTTTCATGTCGGTTCATAATTTCTTGCATTATGCGTCTATTGTGGCAGGTTTATTGTGCTGATCTGTTGTTGTCAGTCAAACCTAACGAGAATTTTAGTTTGTTTTATTTTTGTCACATTAGCAGTTATATCTGATTTATTGTGTTTAAAAATGTTGACATCGGATTCATGAATTAGAAAAATTGGCTTTTAAAAGAGTCTCATACATTCATTGATCATTTAATTATGCAGTTTTTCATTGTAGAGAAAATTTTATTTTCTAGGCTATTGGAATAATATGATATAAATCTGCTCTTTGTTAAGAGACGTCACAACTCATTGAGACTGAAAGATATTTGTTTCATCTAATTATCCGATGCAGATATTTTTGTTTACTTATTGATGTTGCGCTATATGAAGCCAAGGAGCTCCAGCTGACTCTGATCAGAGCTGTTCCTAAGTAGAAATAACAGATCTCTATCAGCAGCAGGTTCAGAGGGTGACATGTTTTTAACTCTGAGCTGTCTTAGATATGTTAAGTAGTTAATGTGATGTGGAAAAACATGTTACAGCTCTGCGTAGCTGCGAAATAAAGCTGACTACAGAGCGTCCACGCGGGAATATTTTATGTAGTGAGGAATATGATTTCCAGCCTGTTTTTAGACCTTGTGTTTTGAGCTGAAGTCTGATGACATTTCGTCCAATGCTGTGATCGTTTGTTGACTTTTTTTTTAAAAATCCACGTAGAGTAAGAACCTGGTGAGGCATATCATCTGTGAGCCAGTGCTACAGGCAGCTCCAAGTTAAATGACTCTAGATTTTTCATACGACTGAATTTCGCATATATTGCCACACAATCGCAAATTGCCATAAATTGCCATGAACATCTTTGCCACTTTTGTCAGATTCATAATTGCTAATAATGTGTTTCAATGGTTTACAATTGGTGAGCTCCTGTTGCCCACCCTCTGCTATTAACGGTATGGATGTTGACCTCTGTGGCCCTTGTATGATGTTTCCTGTAACCCTTGATGAAACATAGATGTTCCTGTCATGGCTTTTTCATTGAGATACTGAAAAATGCTACTGTAAATGTTCTAAGTTGAATGCACTGTGTGTTTAAAAAAACTATACTGGATCAATGATCAGGAAATGACTCCGTAAAAAGACAACATAGTATATAGTGTAACTATAGTGAAATGGTTATATGATGCATTTTTGGGAATTTTATTTATTTCATACTTTGTCATGTTTCAAATGATGATTGGCTATAATTTTAACTGGTATGGTGTTGTAATGTAACCATTAAATTTAGCAAGAAATGGTTTAATGGTTATGGTCGCTTGTACATACACTTGGCCCATATAAAGTATAAACCTTAACGTTTATGTTGTAGCATGGTAATTGTGTGTCTGGAAGAAAACAAGTGGATCATTGATCTGATTTGCTGTTGTTGAATAAATGTTCCTGAACATTGTGTCTTTATCAGATTCTTTCACTTGAGGTTACGAACAACGCGGCGTTAGTTCTCGTTAACACACTCAGTTTGTATAGTTTGGAGAAGGTTGAGATCTTACTGAATTTATGAGGGCTGCAGTGACTTATGTTTTGCACAAAATCACATGACAGAATAAGCCATTAGACCTGCACATTGGTGGCAATAAGCTCGGTGGAGCATGCACAGAAACATACATCCTATATCTGCTACTGAGGAATGTTTAGAACCAGTTCTTTCAGGATTTCACAGGCCTTTTTTAGGATTGCTGCAGCCTAATATTCCTGATTTCACAGCAGCTTTTCTAAAAACACATATTGCATTTTGTTTTTCAATGTGCCTGAAATAACCCACCAGTACTAAATACCAGCACTTCTGATCTTGAGTATCCTTACTTAGTATTGAATACTACCAGGTCACCAAGGTCTGTACTTCAGTATGTTTTATGAGCGGTATGCAATAGAAGTTGTGAAATAATCACAGAAAAATGACTTTAATTTGATGCAAAACTACTCTAGCAAGTTCAGATTTTGGACCATAGTATTTAAAAAAAACTATGTGCAGCAATGCTGGTGAGGTACTCCTAAATGCCTACATAACTGAGTCTCCATGTAATCATAAAGCTAACTTAACACTCAGAAAACAGCACTAAAATGTCCTTGTTAAAAAATGTTTAAAAAAAACTATATTGTGTTTAGGGTTGTGGCACCTTTTTTGGTCTAATTCAGGCACTGTATAATTCACTGGAATAAATTCACTAGTAGTTTGGTGATGTTTGGTGTAACGTGTTGTGCAGGCGACTTCTATGATTGGGTCAAATTTGCAGGAAATTTGCTGTAATTGGAAAAAAATAGTACGAACGCGCAGAATTCACAGAGATTGATTAAATTTGCATTGATTTCTGCGACTGCAACATCAAAACTTCCTGGAGGGACTGAAAAACATTAAAAGATGGATTAAATACAAATATTAAATAATTTATTAACTCAAAATGTGGCACTTTTACTAAATAAAATGAATTTATATTGATTTACACTGTATCAGTTAGAATGCAACTGACAGTCACTGGTAAAGGACGCATTCAGATCACTTACTGTAAAAAATACTGACTATAACTGACTATAATTACTATATAGATAAATATCATTAGATTATTACTTGTGCATTAAAGCAGAATTTACTGGTTGAGGTGGAGCTCAATTGTAACTTTGTACAGGACTGCAACTTTGACGACACCTCCTGTGTGTCGACTCTGCTCTAATGATTATTTTCATTATGGATTAATATGCTGATTATTTTCTCCATTAATCAATTGTTTATTTGATTTGTAAAAACTCTGAAAATAGCGAGAAATGTGCTGTTACAATCACCCACAGCCCAAAGTGACACCTTAACAAAGCTTATTGTGTCCAACCAGCGGTCCAAACCTCAAAACTATTACAAATAAATGAATATATTAAAATGGTTTAAAGGAAAAGCAGTAATTTTTCACAGATCTGAGGCTGAAACCATGAAATGTTTTCCCATGAAAAAGGACTTATAGTAATTTTCAGTCAATCAGCTAATTGAAATAAATCATATTTTTTAAACTCTTCACATGTTTTAATGCAAAATGTGTGTAAAGTATAAAAATAGTGAAGTAAAATGTACAAGTGTTTACCCTGCATGGAGTTGAAGTAGAAAGAGCCATGAAAGTAAATAATTAAAGGACAATTACCTCAAATTTATACTTGAGTAAATCTTTTACATCCCACCGCTGTAATAAAACCAAATACACAGACCTTCCTGATGATAAATCCTTTGTTATTTATCTCAATGTGACATGATGTTCTAGACGTATCTCTGTGTTTTTCCAGCAGATGGAGACAATTCTTTCACTTCACCAACTTATTGTGGAGTTTTAATAATAAATGAGAATTTACACACATTAAAAGGTTTTACTGTAACTGTAAACACTGAGTGGACTGACTGTAATACATATATGAATACATGTACGTACATTTCCTCCTCGTCTGCACATTATGTCCTGGCTGTATTACGAGTATTTTGTTCTCCACTTAGTTAATGTTTGTGAGTCAGTGTGTCGTACAGTCAATATAAATATTATCTTATTTTATTTTTAATTTGAGTCTAATTTCAACCCATGATGCATCCAATGACACACTACTGTCAATCTTTACAAGAAAGGTATGAAATAATAAATGATCCCTAAGAACATGCTTTCGGTTTTCTGCTGCTTTATACTATTTTATACTGCGCTATTATTTATAACTTTAGTTACCAGTCACATTGCAGACGCATATGAATAGACCAGCTATTAAGACTTGCTTTAATTTAAAATGTGTAATAATACATTTGTTTAACTCTATTTTTGTTGTTTTAGCTGGCTGTTGCTTTGTCTCTTATGTGCTACATAAACGTATTATTAATAACAATGCAAAATGTAACTAACAAATGCATGATGATGTATCATTATAGGTTAATTATATAAACATATTATAGGTTAAAATTAAGATACAGGCAGGAATTCACAAGCTAGCAGTGTATAAAGTAATTAAAATTAGCTTCAGATTGAACATTAATGAACATTAAT